AGGACTTCGAGAAATTGATGAGCCTGGACGTGACCCCTAAAGAGGACCAGTGTACCTCGGCCTCGCATGATTCTGGACCCCATCTGGACAGCATGATTCATAGGCTTACGCCGCACAGCTGACCCCTTGGGTTCTTCTTGGGCCATGTTTGTGTTGTCTTGGGGGTCTGGGGCAGTATAACGGGGCCCGCTTGAGGCCGTGTTGGGATTCCTCATCCAGCATGGAGCATGGGTGCGCGGCGATCGTTTCGCAAATTCAACGAGGGAGACGGCAGGTACAGGAACGAAGTGAAAGGGGTCCTTGTGCAAGGCAGGGGGCATGACATTCGGCAAGGAGATTTGACAAGCGTTTTTGCTGGTATTGGACCCTATTAATCATCGGACCTCGCGGGGAACTGCCAAGTGCTCACTCACCGTGGCACGTTCGTTCGCGACACGGCTTGCCCGTGTGTGAGCGATGTTCTGTCATGTTTGTTCCTTGCTCGCTTGCCCGAAGTGCGAGAATGCCATCGGCTTTAGCTTTGGGCTGTTGCACGCCTCGATGTGAGGTGGTGGGGGGCAGGAAGCGGTGGGAAGGGGAGGAACGGGGCATTGGCTGCAGGGAAGAGCAGGGCTGGCGAGTGGAAGAGCTGGGAAGAGCCAGGGAGGTGGAGGAAGGACGGAGCGGAGCAGAGGTGGCGTCAAGGAAATGAAGGGGGGGGTAAAGGGGGGGGGGGGACGTAGCTGAATAGAGGTGGCGTCAAGGAAACGAAGGGGGAGTTTTCAGAGGGGGGGTAAGACGGGACGGGACGGGGGCGAGGAGCGAAGCAAAGCAGGCGGAGGGTGGCACGGAAGAGCGGCGAGGAGAAGAGAGTCGACGGACAGAGAGCGGAAGACGGAGAAGCGAGGGACAGAGTACGAGGGGAGGGCAGGAGTAGAGGGCAGGGGGGGGAGAAAGAAAGTAGAGCGGGTGGGGGGGGAGGAGGAGCGCAGGGGAAGAGGGATCGATGGGGGGGGGATGGATTGCCAGAGGGGTTAATGCGGAAGGGAACGGGTGTAGGAGTGAAGGGGGGAAACTGGTGAAAAAGAGGAACGATTTGAGGTTAGGGCAAGGGAGGGTGGGACAGGGACAAAGGGGTCAGGAAGGTGACGCAGGGCTGCTCCCCCCCCCGTTTCCATTGCCGTTCTCCACCCGGGAGGCCACTGCAGGCCCCCCCAGAGGCCCAGAGAGGACCAGAAGCGCCCAAGAACCCCACTCAGCTGCCTCGATACTCCCGCTTTGAAATGCAACACGTGCCGTGCTCAACGTCCGTGTCAATACGTGGCGTGTGAGCTCCACGTATTGGCCCACATTTTGGCGAACGCCTCGCGTCACACTTACGCTTGCAGTCTACGTGTTGAGCTCCGTATCAGTATGCTACGCGTTGCGTGTTGCGTATCAGAGCAGCTAAGGAACCCCAACCTCCGGGTCTTGTAAGCATTTCTTCCCTGGGCCGTTCTCATCGGACCCACCATCGTCACCCAGAGGCTGTGCGGAGCTGGGCGTCGTGGAAACAGAAGAAGTAGCCCTGGCGAAAGTCCGACCCTGTGCAGCTGCGCGTGGCGTAGGGAACGGCCCTCTCTATTCGTACACCGCGCGCGAAGAGACACGCCAATTCCTTGTGGGGCACGGTCCGCATGAGGGGTGTGCCGACACATGCGTGGCGACGCTACCGCCCGCACTGGTGCCTTAGGTGGAGCTCTAGATGGGCGCAAGGTCCGCGTGAGGAGTGTGCCGAAATCTGCGTGGCGACGTTATGTGGACGCTCTCGCCGGAGCTTTGTGAATGTCCATATGGGATACGATGCGTGCTGTGTGTGTGTGTCTTTGTGTCTTTGTGTGTGCGTGTGCGGTTGCGGTTGCGGTTGCGGTTGCGGTTGCGTGTGCGCGTGCGCGTGCGCGTGCGTGTGCGTGTGCGTGTGCGTGCGTGCGTGCGTGCGTGCGTGCGTGCGTGCGTGCGTGCGTGCGTGCGTGCGTGCGTGCGTGCGTGCGTGTGCGTGCGTGCGTGTGTGTGTGTGTGTGTGTGTGTGTGTGTGTGTGTGTGTGTGTGTGTGTGTGTGTGTGTGTGTGTGTGTGTGTGTGTGTGTGTGTGTGTGTGTGTGTGTGTGTGTGTGTGTGTGAGTCTGAGTGTGAGTGAGTGTGTGTGTGTGTGTTTATGTGTGTGTGTGTGGAGGGGGGCGCCGTAATGGGCGGGAGGACGGCGAGCAGAGGGCAGGGAAACGAAAAGGACAAGTAGGGAGAAATGGGGGGGGAAGGAAGGAGGAGGTTTTCCGACTTCCTTCTCCCCCCCCTCCTCCGAGTTGGCCCTGCCGACTTCTGCCGATTCGATGTGTCAGCCGATGTCTGCCGATTTCTGCCGATTCGATGTTCCAGTCGATCCGATTCGATTTATCGATTCGATGCTGGGGCCGCCTGGGAGAAAGAGCAGCGGGAGACGCGCGGCGCCGCGGGTCCAAAGAGAGGAACCGACGACATGGGAGGGTTGGGAGCACCAGCAGCAGACGAGGAAGAGGAGGGAGAGGGAGGCGGAGGGTGTTACGAAATGGACAAGAGCAGGAAGAGGAGGAATAGGAGGAGGAGGAGGAGGTGGAAGGGGAAGGATGGCCCTCGATCGGCAGTCGTCCGGATATTGTGTATCATGGGGCACCCAGGAGCGCCACACAAAAGAATGGTTGTTTCGCAGTGGGGTTCTGGGCTTCCCAGAGCTCGCAGGCTCCGCGAGCCTGCCCTCCACCTGCGGCAGCTCCCGCTCCTCCGGACCCCGGACGGCCCCCGGAGGCCCGCCGGGGGCCTCGAAGGACGCTGCCTTCAGACCTCGCGAGCCCCTCGCCCCTCGAGGGGCGAGCCTGGCACCCGTCTGGCGGGGCCCCCTTGTTGGTCTCGGTCCTCGTCTCCTCCTCGGTCGGTCCCTCCGCCGTGGTCGGTCTCTGTTGGCCCTCGCTCTCGCGTGCTGGGCCCCCTCGTTCGGTCCCCGCACGTTGCCACGTGTGCGCTGGGAGCTAGCGCTTGCCTCCTAGCCCGCGGCCAAAGAAAGCCCACTCCTCGAGGCTGTGGAGACGGGGAGGAGGATGAGGAGGAGGAGGAGGAGGAGGAGGAGGAGGAGGAGGAGGAGGAGGCTGAGGAGGAGGAGGAGGAGGAGGCGGAGGAGGAGGAGGAGGAGGAGGGGGGTTGCTAGAAGTGCCCCTGGCCCAAGGTGCCCCTGGCCCAAGGTGCCCCCCGGCTTGTCGCTCCACTTTTGAGCCCCCCTGGGCCCGTGCGGGGCGCCCTGGGCCTCGTGCGGGGCGCTCTGGAGGCCGTCCGTGGGTGCCTGCCCGAGCATCCGCCTTGGGCCAGGGGCACTCCTAGCTTTAGGTCGGGCGTGCCCCTCTATAGGAAGAACATTCAAACATAGTTCAACAATAGTCCGGGGACGATTTTTTTTGGTACGTTTGAGCATGTTGTGTGTATTTCTGTTGACTAAATTTTATTTTTCGTCAAAAACTTATCCGCCGGTAGGGCGACACGCCCGACCTAAACCTTGGGCCAGGGGCATTTCTGGCAACAGCCGGTCAAGAGACGGGGGTCAAGGCAAACGGGGGTCAGCCAGGGCGCCGGATTTTGCATGATCCTGCATGGCCTGAACTACATAAACCCAAACTTGCGGGCAGGATCCTGCAGAGCCCGAGGGGTCTGGACTGGTCTGCGCCTGGGGAGCCCCGATCTCCTCAGAGGTGGAAGCGGTACTGATACCGCTGCCCTTCCCTCGTTTCCCCTGATCGGGGCCTCTCGGGGGGCCCTTGTCGGCACGGCCGGATGCTCTTCGAAATCCTGGTCAGAGCGCCCGCGCGGGAGAGTTCTGGGGAGTAGCGGTTGCGGTACTTGTCGGTTTCCCCATCTCTTCGGGCGTTACGCGTTGGGGGCGCTATAACTTTGACCTTTCATTCCAGGAGGGCTAGAGAATAGCACCAGGACCTCGGCGTCCAAATTCCCGTCGAGGTTGCAGGCGGTCCCGATCGGAGGTTGGGTGGCGAGATCGAAGTGGGACGGCGAGCCCCCTCACGTGGAAATCGGTTCCTATTTCGGGCTCGTGTCGTGCGTGCGGGCTGGGCGAAGCTGCGTGGGCGGGCAAGAGGACTGACCCCGCCGTGGCAAGGGGCGTGGCCGGGGGTCACCCGCCGTGGTGTCCCGCCGTGGTGTCCCGCCGGTGTCTGCGGCGGTGTCCGCGGCGGTGACCGGGGGTGTCCCGTCGGTGTCCCGTAGGGTGCCCCGTCGGTGTCCCGTTGGGGAGGTCGAGGGACACTTGTTCTTCACCAGTACTGATGTCGATTGTGAGATCGAGTGGGATCGGTGTTGCGATCGATAGTGAGGTCGATTGCGGGGTCGATCGTGAGATCCGTGGGGTGGTGGTGGTGGTGTGAGATCGGTGGAGTGAGATAGGTAGAGTGTTATCGATAGAGTTGGACCGATAGAGAGATCGATAAAGTGAGATCGATCGAGTGAGATCAATAGTGATATCGATAGTGAGATCGATCGTGAGAGTGATCGTGAGATCGATAATGAGATCGATGAGATCAATTGAGTGAGACGTTGGTTCCGTCCCCCCCCGCCCACAACCTCCTTTTCACCCGTAGTGTGGTCGTACAGGTTGGTCTGGAGGTCTTGAGGGTTATTTCTTTGCATTCTGAGAGAACTTCCCCCCCATCGCTCGCCGCCGATGTTTGTCCGAGACCCCCGACGCCATGATCTCGACGTCGATCCCCAGAGGTTTCGACCCATTCCCCAGGACAGGCTTCGCATCCCGAGCCATTTTTTGACGGCTCCGAGGCTCGGTGAGGGCTGCCCCCGGAGGCCGAAGATAGCGAAAAACCTCCCCCCGTGATTCATTCCCCTCTCTCGAGCTTGTCTGGGTCCTCCAAGAATCCCCCCCCCCCAGTGCAGAATCGCCCACTCTCCGGCGAGAGGAGCACCCCGCGACCGCAGGGCTCGACCCGGCCTCGGGCGGCCCGCGGCGAAGCGCCCGCCCCCGGACGCGGCGCGCCCGCGCGCGCGGGGGGGTCGGCCGATGGCCACGCGGCTGTGAGGGCCCTCGCCGAGAGTGCAGGCCCTCCCCAAGGAGGATCGAGGAGGAAGAGGAGGAGAAGGAAGAAGAAGAGGAGGAGGAGGAGGAGGAGGAGGAGGAGGACAGGGTTCGGCCTCAGGACCCGCAGGACACACCCGATATTGTACCATCTCTTTGACATCTGCTTGAGAGGCCAGACTCCAGGCGTGTGCTCTTCCGAGCGCCGCGATCGCGAATAGTTCTCTTTCCGCTGTTGCTGGCTCTGACGGGCCTGAGAAGGCCTGGCACCGACGACAGCGGCCCAGGAGACATCAAGCAAGATTGTTGGTGACGCTCGACGCAGCAAGACGATTGCTCGACGGCCATCGCCGATCTATGACATACAACACGTGGGGATGTCAGACATGCAGCAGGGACGGGAAGAACTAGCACAAGCGATGCCCATGTGGTCCGTGCAACAACAGAATCAGACTAGGGGAGCTCGAAGGCAGCGAAGTCAAAGTTCTGGACGCCAGTCGCACGGAGTGGTCCAGAATTGCATCAAGAGGTTGCCGCCCGTGCTTCAGGGCGGCCAGGACCCACTCAGCATACATAGCACCGCCGTCCAGGACCTCAGAGTTGCCCAGTTCCAAAAAGAGGTGTGCACTCAAATGAAGAAGCTTACAAACCTTGCCACCATGGCCAAACAAGTAACAAAAGCGAGGATGCAGACAGGCACGGCATGGAACCCATGGTGCTGAAAACGGCCTTGAGCAGTTTAACCCGGCAAGAGAAGAAAGAGGCACGTGCATTTCAAATTGGACAAAGCAAACGGTTCCCTAAACAACGCAGAAGGAATAATCAATACCCTCCAGCAGCAGAAGCGAAACATTGAAATGGATACTGCACAGTTGGAGAGCTGTATAAAAGGAACTCAGCGAAATGCCCGAGGAACCAGAAGACGCTGCTATGGAAGAGGGTGGGAAACAGCATTACTTTGCACAGCTGACAACGGGTGCAGAAGAGTGAATACCTCAGTACAAAATATACGAAAGGGAGCTGCTCCAGATCCTGCCCCGCCAATTGGACAAGTCATAGGAGGATTTCTACCGTTCGGGAAACAGCAACAGCCGCAAGTACAATAGCAGGCTCTGGTTCAGAATACCATGCACGCGCAAGGGCAGCAGCCGCATCACCAGACCAACTTGGCAGAACTCAAGCCGAAAATGCAGCAGGCTCACATGCAGCAGCAGATGGCTCAAGAGGGGCAGATTCAAAGCATGCGTCCCACGATGCAAGCAGCTACTTTACCCATTGACGTTTGACTTGCATGAAGATGACGAGCGACACAGGAACGTCATGATCATATGCTAACTTCAGTCTCTGGCTGGATGCAGGCCCAAACCATTGCAAATTTGTCGTGGAGCAAGCACGGCGGCAGGTTGAAACACGCCAGTCCTTTGTACACCAGCAGCAGCACTACCGGCGCCAGTCGCGCAGATTGGAGAAACAGTTGCACCAGCGCCGCAGAGACAAAACGCACCACCTCCTATCCCAGCGGAGCAAGACTCCCCTCTTTTGTCCCCGACGGAGGTCGCAGGGTCACAAGCCAGGAGTGGTTTCTTACAGTCTATCTGGAAAGAGGAGGCCACGCCATTCGAAGCTGGGCCCATGGTCAGGCCAGCAGTCGGCATTCCCATGCAACCGGCTAGCCCGACGGAGCCCCTAGACACGCAGTTCGAAGACCCTCATCTGCTCACGCAGGCTCCAGCGGCCTCGGCCACGCACCCGATGAACGAAGGGGGGCGGGGAGCGACAGACCGTCTCAAGTCAAGGAAGATTTTGAGAATATAGACCACGCGCGCGTGAAGAGGGAAGTCGAGAAGATCGGTAAATCTTGCGCGGAGTCGCAAACAGTGACGACGCTGCTAGCAGCCTCGCGCGACCCCCGCGACCCCGACAGATCGCCCCCTTCGAAAGCGACCAAGACGGAGAGCACGGGTGGAGCCTGGGTACTCGCGAACACCAGGCAGACGCAGCTCGATTGTTTCAGCAGCTGGATCGCGGCGCAGGGGCGCGCGTTCATGGGCGCGATGGCTTTCTGGGCGGGGCAGCGCAGGTAGTTCGAAACAAAAGGGTTCGTTTTTCCTTCCAACCGAAGAGTGATGCCTCCGTGGGGCCCCGTGGCCCCGACGGGGCCGCGCTCCCCCGCGGGGTCGCGCCGGGGTCCAGTGCCAAGATCAATTCTTGATTTGTTATGTTTTTTCGTTGTTTTGATTTTCTATGTCATACGCGCGGCCACCAGGCGCGTGGACCTTAGGGGCGAATTGCCAGTCGTTGAAACAACGGCGCAGGCAGCCACGCGCATGCACCGAGGCTCGCGGTGGACCAGTTCGGGAGCCAGCAGCAGCAGAGGGGTTGACATCGGGGGCCACTCCTCCCCCCACTTCCTCGCGCTCTGATGGGCCGAGCGAGGCTCGGGGCAGCAGCGGCCGCGATGCCCCTCCCCTGCGGGAAATTCGGACGTAGCGCATGGGCAGTTTAGATGCGCTGCCCCGACGGGGATCGGGCCAGGGCTCTCGTCGCAGGCAGCAGGTCTCAGTTTGAGAGCTTCCAACTCCCGGGGAAAAAAAACAACAACAGGCCTGCTAGCATTTGAGTCAGCAGAGGCGCTGAGAGCACATCCCCGTGCCGGGCAGCAGCAATCCGAGCCCGGCGCCATCCGCTTCTTTCGCGGGCAGCCCCCTATACTGACTAGGAGAGTGGATTGGGCATTGGCAGTGGCCGTGATTTCAGCGCAAGAAGATGCATTCTCACGCGGGGGGAGTGGGATGAAAGGGGGGTTCAGCAATGCTGACAGCATGGGCTTGGGCCTAGCAGTTGCTGAAAGCGTCGCGCTTGAGCGGCGTTGCTATGCTCTCTGTATAGGTGCATGGCTGAGGTGCCAGCTTGCCCGGTCACGATCGACTGCGATGATGTCCACGATGCGTTCAGCTTAGGTGGGTCTCACTGCCTGGATCGGATGTCCAGACTGCCTCCTTTGTTCAAGTAGTTTGGGACATGGTCGCTCAGGGCGCGAAGGCGATGCCAGGGCGCGCCCAAGCTCACCGCGGGCATCTGCGGGGCGCTTCGACGGATGACGCCGCGAAGGTGACGGCGCGAGGCATAGGGCCTCAAGCTCCCGCCCCCCCGCGCTCTGGGGTTCAGGCTGTCAATTTCAGAACCGCCGCGTCGCGGCGGTCGCTGCTGGATGAGCATCGCGATTCACGCGCGCACCCTCAGGCCAGAACCAGCAGCGATCAGCTTCGCACGTCAGGAAAGTTGCCCACCGCCATGGCGCGAGTAGGCCGTGCGCCGTTGAACCCGGGCATGGGATCGAGGCAGGCGCAGGCCCCAGTGGATTCCGAAGTGCCGATTTTCAATGCGCAGTCTCTCAGGCAAGCTCACAGGCAGGGGGTCAAAGGGAACAATCGCGCTTGCAAAGCCGTTGCCCCGCGCGCGCAGCCATATAGAAAAGGGTCTCACATGGCAGGGATTCAAGAAGCTCGCAATGAGAAGAGCACGCGTAAAACCAGGGCTGAGTTTGCGCGTGGGCAAGTCACCAAGACGACGCACTAGGAGTGGAGCTCTGGATGAACGTAGGGGCGCCCCATGGCAAAGTTAAGGGAAGGCCTCTACACTGCAGCCTCCAGCAGGTTTGGGTTTTGTGGGCCACCCCTCTTGCGCTGGCATGTCGACTTGACGCGACAGCAGTCAACGTTGCCATTTTTGTTGCCCGCGCTCCGTACTCAGGAGATAGCGCTGCATGTAGGGTCTTTTTTTTCGGGGAGGACATGAGAAGTGCAGCTGGGGCGCGGCGTCCGAGCATGGCCTTGACAGACGGCAGCTGCCGCCTAGAGGGGGGGGGGGGGGGGGCCTGTCGCGGGAACCATTGGCACCAGCGGGCAGTGCCTGGCGGGGAGATTCAAAATGCGAGAGTGACTCAACGATTTCAGTTTTAGAGCTGCCAATACCGTCATTGGTGATGAGGATGATTCCGCATTTCTCCCCAACGAGACTGGCGCAAAACACCAGGTTGATTTGTTGGTGGCCGATCGCGGCCTCGCTTGTGCATTGACGGAAGTCACAGTAGAGAATCACATCGATTTAGTGAGCAGGACTGTCGATCATTTGTCAGTTGTAGAGCGGCTGCTTGGGATCAGATGCGCGCCGAAGGCGACGGCAGGAAACGCGCCGCTGGACCGGGGCAAGATGACGCAGCCGGGGCCGCTGGACGGATTCCAGGGACATGTGGCCGAGATAGGGTTGGACCGCTGGAATGTCGACATGAATGATCACATTGCCAACGTTGACAAGCAAGTGCCAAAGGCTGCTAGGACGGCTTTGACAACGGAGGCGAAATGACCACGCGAACCGCATATCTGAGAAGCGAGCTGCTGGCTCATCAGGGGCCGCCGCGATGTCCAGAAATTCTCGTGCCAGGTGAAGCGCGGAGGGGGTTTTGAGAGCAGTGCTGACAGGATGTTTGTTTTCTTGCCCAAAACGTGAGGCGGGGTGATCTGAAAGGAATCCATGGGCCGTCTGGAGATCAGGCGGGGCGACTACGGGGCAACCATTGCCAGTGGTCACCCCTCCTGATCCCCAGGCGGCCCACGGATTCCATCCCAATGGTCGATTGGGGAGGACTCGCCACCGGCTCGAAGAAGCGGCGGCGGTTTTTCTCCCGGGGAGAAAACCGACGCAGCGGAGTGGGCGTTCGAGCTCGCCCTTTTCTTTGAAGTCGTCGCGAGGCGCCTTGGTAGAGGCGCATGATGGGGATTTGACTGAGCGCCTCGATAGGCAGGCCTGGCGCATCGCTGCCGGCATCGGAGGCGACACCCCCGGAGCGGAGTGGCCGTCGGCTGGGAAGTTGCCCGCTCTAGGAGGGAAACAACAAAGAAGTAGCTGCCTGTCTTTCCCATGCGCACTGATCCACTAGGCGCGCCCCCTCGTCGCGCCCTAGGGGGACGCTGGTGATCTCCAGTGGCATTTTGGCAGCGTCGAGAAATCCATGGATGCCAAAG